TTGCGAGAGATGCAATACTTAGGGGCTGTTTGGCAACTTCTGAATAGGTAAGTGCTGAACCAGTAAGAGGTCTCAACCATTAAGAGCTAGTATATTGCTTAACTATTCAGAGGCAAATGTCTGAGCAATTCAGATAAGAGGTCTTAACCATTCAGACTCTGTATAATACTTAACCATTCAGAGGCAAATCTCTTAACCATTCAGACATCTGAACCATTAAGAGGCTGAAACAAACAGTCTGAACCATTAAGTGCTGAACCATTCAGACATCTGAACCATTAAGAGGCTGAAACAAACAGCCTCTTACTTTCGCACATTTGCAAATGTATAGATAAATATTTGAAAATAACATCATGTTCTTTATACTTATACAAAATGAAATTTGAACACTAGCTACAAAACATTAATTAGGATATACCCATTTCATACAAGTATAAATACTTTGTCCTAAATTTATCATCCTCATCCTTTCATCCTCAGACTACATGGAGCTGACTAGCTACTGTCATGCATGCATGTGATCATAACTCGGGAGTCGCTGCTGCAGAGGAGTACTTGTATGGGTGGCCGGAGGGTGTGCAAAGTAGCCAAGCGCACGGGGCATCTAAAATTTCAGGACCCCATATTTTTAAATTTATTATTAATTTTGAAGCATAAGTATTCTAAAATAATAAAATAGGACCCAAAATGTAAATTTCGAACCGGGCCAATTTCATTTTTTCATTTTTTGAGGCCGACTCTGAGTACTTGTCGGTCATATCGCCACCCACAGAGTCGGTACCGGCCATATATAGAGGAGCCACTGTCGTAGCCTTGGGTCAGGTCACCACTATTCCTTTCTCTTCATTGCAGGATTTTCATTGAACCTTCTCTTCAGCGCCTTCCCGCGTAGAAAAACAACCTGATGTATGGCAAGATAGGTACAACCAATTGCCTAATAGGCTAATAACTTGGGCCCTTTTTATGTGTTTTTAAAAAGTGTAGAAGACTTTTTTTGTCCGATATTTTATCTTCTTAAGTCTTAGAAACAATATACTCGGTAATACTCAAAGCATTTTAATATACATCCCTATTTTATACATTGTGTTGAAAAGGAGTTTTCAACTTTTCGGGTGCGCGCACACACACACATTAGACACATATATAATCAAGAACTATATAATTACCAAGATGGTACTCATACTCAATGCTTGATAAAAATGCTCAATTTAGTCCTCTGACTAACGATCGTCATAACAGCATCAAAACGATGTTAAAACTTACACTAATATTCTAGAATGGCCCTTTCTAATTGTGTGTTTTCTGAAATTGGTCCATTTTCAAAATAAAAAATCATTAAATATGGAAATACAATTTTAAATATTATATGATGAAAAATTGTTTAGAAGATTCATATAGACATGCAATTTATAAGATAAATAAAACTATAAGTATAATTTAATAAAGTTGAACACAAACATTTTAGATTGTTTAAAATTATTTAGAAGAATATCATGTAAATTAAATTTTTAATAAATGATTCCATCTGTTCGATTCCATGTTTGACCAAAGTTATTTCCAAATAAATATAAAAGAAATTTGGTCTATAATTTTTTGTTAACATTGGTCTTATTTTTGGGATGAAAAGAGCATTAAATATTTTATTTACATGAAATTCTTCGCAAAAATTGTACTCCCTCCGTTTGGAAAAACACTTCCCATTTGGATTTGGGGCAAAAATAAGGAAGTGTTAAATTATAGTTGATTTCCAATTTTGCCCCTGATGTGATGGGTAAAAGTAAGATGTGATGGATAGATTATTAGAGAAAAAGTATGATGTGATAGGTAGGGTATGAAAAAGTAAGGGTAAAAGTGGTTTTTTAATAGAAAAGGGAAGTGTTTTGTTGAAAGTGGAAAAAATGAAAGAGGAAGTGTTTTTGAGAACGGNATTAAATATTTTATTTACATGAAATTCTTCGCAAAAATTGTACTCCCTCCGTTTGGAAAAACACTTCCCATTTGGATTTGGGGCAAAAATAAGGAAGTGTTAAATTATAGTTGATTTCCAATTTTGCCCCTGATGTGATGGGTAAAAGTAAGATGTGATGGATAGATTATTAGAGAAAAAGTATGATGTGATAGGTAGGGTATGAAAAAGTAAGGGTAAAAGTGGTTTTTTAATAGAAAAGGGAAGTGTTTTGTTGAAAGTGGAAAAAATGAAAGAGGAAGTGTTTTTGAGAACGGAGGGAGTAAATAACTTGAAACGTTTATTTTAAAATTTATAAATTTATATCTATAGTTTTACTTATTATATTCTCATCCGACAAAGATTATTTGTTTTTATATTTAATCATTTTTTATTTTAAAAATGGACCAATTTGAAAAATACACAATAAGAAAGGATCATTTTGGATATGTAGTATGGAGTATAAGTTTTAACATTGTTTTTGACATCATTTTGACGACACCTAGTCAGAGGACTAAACTTTCTCAAATAAGAATTACTGTCTCGATAATTAGTTCATCTTGTGGACTAATTAGAAAAAATACACAACTATTGAGTACCATTTAAAATATTTATTTATAATTTAATTAGATTTTTCTTTCAAAGGAATTTTAAAATCTTATTTTATTATGAGTAAATTCTATTATTGGTCCTTTATAACAGGAGGATTTTCATATTTAGTTATCTATTATCAAACATTATGTTAGTGACCATTCTTTTATGAATTTATACCTTTCCATATTTACTTTTATTTAGCGAGTTCTTTAATTCTTTTACATAATATTTGAATAATAATTTAGTCTAGAGTGGCATTGGTGTAACAATATCAGAATCATGAGGTGCAACAACGTAAGTTTTAAAACCATATGGGGTAACAGTGCACATTTACCAAACCATATATGTCTTGCTGAAATACACTCATCTAAATACTAATAATCAGTTCTCTTCAACTTACTTTTATTAGTTATTGCTGATTCTTATTTGAATCTGATTAGATCAGATTCATTCAGATCAAATACGTTCAGATTCATTCAGAGCATATCAGATCTGTCCAGATCAGATTTATTAATATTAGATAATGTCAAATCTATTTAGCTCAAATTAGGAAATTATTAAAAAACAAATAATGTTAAAGTAATAATAATAACAATTTGAATTCGAATTCAATTTCAATTTCAAATTATAATAAATATTATGTGAAACCAAATTAAAACTCAAATAATAACATTTAAAATAATAATATAATAATAATAATTTGAATTCAAATTCAAATAATAATAAGAAAATTAATAACAATAATAATAATGAGCATTATTATTTGAATTTGAATTCAAATATTAATTTAAATAATAATAATAGTAATAAGAATGATAATAATTGTAATTTGAATTCAAATTAAACTTTAAATAATAATAATAAATTTAATAATAATAATAATAATAATTTGAATTTGAATTCAAATAACCATAAAAATTATTATTATTATTTGAATTTGACCTAAAATAATAAGAATAATTTAACCTCAAATAATAATTATTCGTATTATTATTTGAACTCAAATTTAAATTAAATAGTAGGAGGTACAACAACAACAACAACAATAATACTCCTCCGTCCCGAAATTATCTTTCGTCTTTGAAATGACACAACTTTTAATAATTTTGCATGTTGGTGGTTGTTGTTTGCGAAGAAAATAATAATAATTCATATGGACAATCTTTTTTTTTCCTTAAAAGAAAAGAGGAAGAAAATTTTGGGTAATCCCAATATGAAAGAAAAAAATAATTATGGGACGGATGGAGAAATAATTTGAATTTGAATCCGAATAAGATTCATCCAGATCGATCACATAAGATTAGTTTATATTAATTCAGATGAGATCAAATCAGATCAGCTCTGATAATCAAATTCATTAATCAAACCATACTTAAAAAATGGGTGGTGATAGTCACACCCCATCCAAATACTAACTGCACTCCAAACACTAAATTCACTCCATTAGTTTCAAAATGATTTTTAATATTAATTAAAAAAAAATTTTAATCCATGAACTCATACACAACATTTTGCAATTTTAAGTTTTGAATCATAATATAATAATAGTTTAATAATAATTTTTTTCTACTAAATGTGGAGTATATTTTATTTATTAAATATGATAACTTTTTAAAATAAAAGTTGTAATTTTAATAATAATTCAAATTATTATGTGAAATTTATGTGAAGTTTTTTATGATAAGTTTTTAATAATTATAATATGATAAGTTTTTTATGTGAAATTTATTTAATCATCTTTTTAAAATAATAAAATAACTATGTAAATTAAAAATGGTGAAATATATAGTAATATACTCCGTAGTATTTAGAAAATAAAATATTTTATACAAAATCAATGGTCATTCAATGTATTAAGAATAAAAATTATTTAATAATGAAAAATTAGAGGAAGGGGTTCCAAAATTTTATAAATAAAATTAAAACTAAAATATATATTAATTTATTTGAAATGTAATAAAATAAAATAAATGATGAATAGTTTTAAACTTTTTTTGTAATATTTTTTCAACATAATAAAGTCATATA